TTCTCAATAGAGTAGAGCTGGATGCAGTGAAAGCTCCACCATAACATAACCATGTTTTTCTAGCACTAGCATCGACAATTGTACTAATATCTATATATGAACCAAATAAGTGCACTATAAAAATTATATAGTATATATACGTGATGCTACTAATTGGGTATCATAAATATTTATATCTTTTTCTATAAATTTAGTCAAATTTAACATACTTTCACTTAGCACAATTTTATAGGTATAAGTTGATTTCATTTGGACCGGAGGAAGTCCACTTAAAAAACAAAACATATTAAATATTATCCTGTCCTGACCTTCATATATTATTATTTTAGCTTACTATATAGTACGCTTTTTTCGAAAGAAAGTATACAGTACACTTGGTTTGCCTATTTAAGGGAGGCCTTATGACCCAACGAGAAAAGTCGTGTTCTTATATAGGCATCCTCTTATTTTCTTATGGATGCTATCATTGTCAGTCAACTTGGATTACCACTTGGAGTTGGTAATTCATCACTATTTGATTTTCTACTGATATGACAGGTACAATCCACCAGCTAAGAATTGAAAACCAAGGCAAACTTGGATCAAAACTCATGGATGTAATAAGAACATTTTTAAAAAAACATCTAACGGTACAAAAAGTGTAGATATATTTCGGATCACAAAAATGAATAGAGACGTACAAAAAACTGCTAGAATATGTGAATTTGAGTCGATTCCATTGATTAGCCTAAAATGAGGAGCGGATCAGATCGACTCTTCTTCGTTTCAACTGCTCCCATGCTTACCCCCTGTCTTCACGCATATTTATTGTGACGATCGATCAAACTTTAATAACTATAGCATTTCGCTAGAAATAGACATTTTTTCGTACCTAGACCTCGAAAGTTTACTACTATAGCAAGAAACTCCTTTTCAGTCTCTCCATAAGAAAATGAACTACCAAATGTAAGGAGTCGGTGAAGCATCAGCTCTGGCTCCTTCTCAATAGAGTAGAGCCGGATGCAGTGAAAGCTCCACCATAATATAACCATGTTTTTCTAGCACTAGCATCGACAATTGTACTAATATCTATATATGAACCAAATAAGTGCACTATAAAAATTATATAGTATATATACCTGATGGTACTAATTGGGTATCATAAATATTTATATCTTTTTCTATAAATTTAGTCAAACTTAACATACTTTCACTTAGCACAATTTTATAGGTATAAGTTGATTTCTTTAGGAGCTGAGGAAGTCTACTTAAAAAACTAAACATATTAAAGATTATCCTGTCGTGACCTTCATATATCATTATTTTAGCTTTTTTACGCTTTTTTTACGAAAGAAAGTATACAGTACACTTGGTTTGCCAATTTAAGGGAGGCCGAATGACCCAACGAGAAAAGTCGTGTTCTTATATATGCATCCTCTTTTTTCTTATGCTGGCTATCATTGTCAGTCAACTTGGATTACCACTTGGAGTTGGTAATTCATCAATATTTGATTTCCCACGGACATGACAGGTACAATCCACCAGCTAAAAATTGAAAACCAAGGCAAACTTGGATCAAAACTCATGGATGTAATAAGAACTTTTTAAAAAAAACATCCAACGGTACAAAAAGTGTAGATATATTCCAGATCACAAAAATGAATAGAGACGTACAAAAAACTGCTAGAATATGTGAATTTGAGTCGATTCCATTAATTAGCCTAAAATGAGGAGCGGATCAGATCGACTCTTCTTCGTTTCAACTGCTCCCATGCTTACCCCCCAGACTTCACACATATTTAATGTGACGATCGAGCAAACTTTAATAACTATAGCATTTTGCCAGAAATAGACATTTTTTGTACCTAGACCTCAAAAGTTTACTACTATAGCAAGAAACTCCTTTTCTCTCTCCATAAGAAAATGAACTACCAAATGCAAGGAGTCGGTGAAGAATCAGCTCTGGCTCCTTCTCAATAGAGTAGAGCCGGATGCAGTGAAAGCTCCACCATAACATAACCATGTTTTTCTAGCACTAGCATCGACAATTGTACTAATATCTATATATGAACCAAATAAGTGCACTATAAAAATTATATAGTATATATACCTGATGCTACTAATTGGGTATCATAAATATTTATATCTTTTTCTATAAATTTAGTCAAATTTAACATACTTTCACTTAGCACAATTTTATAGGTATAAGTTGATTTCTTTTGGACCGGAGGAAGTCTACTTAAAAAACAAAACATATTAAAGATTATCCTGTCCTGACCTTCATATATCATTATTTTAGCTTACTATATAGTACGCTTTTTTCGAAAGAAAGTATACAGTACACTTGGTTTGCCTATTTAAGGGAGGCCGTATGACCCAACGAGAAAAGTCGTGTTCTTATATAGGCATCCTCTTCTTTTCTTATGGATGCTATCATTGTCAGTCAACTTGGATTACCACTTGGAGTTGGTAATTCATCACTATTTGATTTTCTACTGATATGACAGGTACAATCCACCAGCTAAGAATTGAAAACCAAGGCAAACTTGGATCAAAACTCATGGATGTAATAAGAACTTTTTTTAAAAAAAACATCCAACGGTACAAAAACTGTATATATATTCCACATCACAAAAATGAATAGAGACGTACAAAAAACTGCTAGAATATGTGAATTTGAGTCAATTCCATTAATTAGCCTAAAATGAGGAGCGGATCAGATTGACTCTTCTTCGTTTCAACTGCTCACATGCTTACCCCCTGCCTTCACACATATTTATTGTGACGATCGAGCAAACTTTAATAACTATAGCATTTTTCCAGAAGTAGACATTTTTTTTGTACCTAGACCTCGAAAGTTTACTACTATAGCAAGAAACTCTTTCTCTCTCTCCATAAGAAAATGAACTACCAAATGCAAGGAGTTGGTGGAGCATCAGCTCTGGCTCCTTCTCAATAGAGTAGAGCCGGATGCAGTGAAAGCTCCACCATAAAATAACCAAGTTTTTCTAGCACTAGCATCGAGAATTGTACTAATATCTATATATGAACCAAATAAGTGCACTATAAAAATTATATAGTATATATACCTAATGCTACTAATTTGGTATCATAAATATTTATATCTTTTTCTATAAATTTAGTCAAATTTAACATACTTTCACTTAGCACAATTTTATAGGTATAAGTTGATTTCTTTTGGACCGGAAGAAGTCTACTTAAAAAACAAAACATATTAAAGATTAACCTTCATATATCATTATTTTAGCTTACTATATAGTACGCTTTTTTTCAAAAGAAAGTATACAATAGACTTGGTTTGCCTATTTAAGGGAGGCCGTATGACCCAACGCAGAAAAGTCGTGTTCTTATATAGGCATCCTCTTCTTTCCTTATGCTGGCTATCATTGTCAGTCAACTTGGATTACCACTTGGAGTTGGTAATTTATCACTATTTGATCTCCCACGGACATGACATGTACAATCCACAAGCTAAAAATTGAAAAACAAGGCAAACTTGGATCAAAACTCATGGATGTAATAAGAACTTAAAAAAAAACATCCAACGATACAAAAAGTGTAGATATATTCCACGTCACAAAAATGAATAGAGACGTACAATACTTTTTTTACCCAGCCGTGGGTCTAGTCTATCCCAATTACTATATGGATTATATAAATAAATTATTATATATAAATGCACAAGGATAGCGGTGGATGCAGACGACACGGCTGAATTTGCAGCTGCACTACGTGTGCCTGTCCTGTGCCCAATTAGGCTATGTATGCCACTATCAGAGACTCACGCTTAGTTTGACTTTGGGATGCATGCAAGTAGGCTATATAAATGCATGGCTAGCTTCGCCTTCGGTCTCTCTCACTCTCTCCACTAAACATGTTACTTCCAGGACAACGACATGATTCATGACACCAGACATGCATAATTGCAGGAAAACTCCGATCGGTCCACGTGATTATTTATTCGGTTGAATGTTTTTCAGAGAAAAAAAGGATGCCACAGTTATCACTAGCACTGTTTATTTGCACTGACCCAGTAACTGAAGAAGAAAAACTAAACAGGGTTGTAGTTGGCACTCCAGAATCTCCAGAGAAAAAAAAACAGCCTCTCAAAGTCACTGAAAAGTTAATTAGGTTCGTTAATTCCAACTTGCATCTGAAATCGACAGCTCATATTAATGTAAGCAGCGGGTTACTGTGGGCGTGTACAACCCGATGGGCTCTCGAGGAAAGAGAACAATCAAATAATAACTGTATAAAAGCCTTGATCTACGTTTGGGAAAAGCTAACCTTACATGCTAATCTACTCGTCCAATAAGACGCTCGGAGATGCGGGTATCTTGTGTAGCTAATGCTAGCTCTGCCAGATATACATACCTCTTTGTATATAAATAAAATAAAATCAAAGCAATAAATACGATGACAGTGAAGGTCTACAGCTTTAGAAATAAATACGACCACATGTGACGCATTCAGCGGTGTCCTTGTCTAGAAATAAATCAAAGAGATGGAACAGGCCGGGGGGAAAAAAAGCTTATGCTGTCACATCAGACAGAAACAGAATACAATGTGTTGTTCGTAACACGTAGTGGATCTATTGACAACTTCCAATACATATATGCATCTTAATCTTCTAGCCCTTGATGCGAAAATTCCTTCATCCATATGCTTAATGCTCCCAGTTCCCAAATCCAGAAAAAGTACTGAGAAAAATGGTGCCTGCTGAATCCATCATAGTTCAGAACATCAGATAAGTGAGCAGGGAGAAATGGAGAAACATAAGACACAATCTTATAGCTTCATTGACACATAGTAATCGGGAGTCCTCCAAATAACAATACAGTATTAAAAGAAGAAGAAGAAGATAGTAGCAGGGAACAGCTACTCTTTAGCACATCCAAATTTATGCACGTTTACAAATGGCGTAAACCGGGCAGTGAGTTGCAAAACAAGCCACTATGGTGTACTGGATGAAGAAACTGTAGGAAGCGTATGAACGGCCACTATTCACAAGCATCTCTCTGTCTTTGAGAAAAAAAAAAGCACGTCATATCTGAAAGTCTCAGTTGTAACACGAACTTCATCTGTGACACAGCAGCCGTCTTCACGCCATGTCGAACTCCCTCATCGACCTTGGGCTGCAGATGATGTCGAACGGCTTGTCGATGCTGTCCTGCAATATCGTGATCTGCCCCTCCTTCGTCCAGGGCTTCGATCTTCTTCTTCAGCGACACAACCTCGTTCTGCATGATGCTGATGTTTCTTCTCAGCTGCTTTGCTTCCTGCCACGACAGGTCCCTCTCCTCCGTTACTGTTTTCAGTGTTCCACGGAGAGCAGCCAGCTCCTTTGCAGATTCCTGGAAATCCTGTTGGATCTCATTGATTGACTCATCCTTCGATACCTGTTAAGTGGAGGAAACCAACAAATATGTAACAACACAGCAGGAGTACTTGAGGAAAATACCGCAACAAAACTATCTTCTAGCATATATAAACATCATCTGCCATTCTGATATGAAACAACATTTACCAGCTGACAAGTTACTATACTACCAGTCTGAAGAAGCATGCCATTTCGGCTGGTACCATAACACAATCACAGCACTATTGATTGGTCTTTAAAACAACACAGTATTGATTGACAGCCCACTGATGTCTAAACGCAAATGGATTTGCACATAGCATATGGTCTGGACTTCTGGTGAAGTTGTATGCCCTACTTAGGCCTTGTTTGGATGCGCATGTATTCATCTCAATCCACATGTTTTGAAGTAGATTGGAGTGGAATTGAACTAAATTCCATTCCATTCCACTCATGCTCATTTCTAAGTTTCTCTAGATTTTCATTTAGTTTGCTGTTTTGCGTTTCCAAACTTGCAACTTTCGTTGAAGCCTCAGCCTTATTTGCTTCAAGAAAAGTAACTTCTCTCTGAAATGACACATTCTGCTCTGCAAGTTCTCTCACCCGTTCATGTAGTCTCTCTTCTTCAGATTGAAATCTTGATAGCCTGATAGACCAATCGTCTGACCTTCTGTCCATCTCTCTCTCCAGTGTAGTTTGTGCTGGCCCACAGTTAGCCTCCAGACCACCGAGATGGCCTCCAGACCACTCGTTGGTCTCACAGGATCACCGGCTCACGATAGTGAACCACTCTAGCCGATCTTGTCGAGCACCGGCTCAGGCGAGTGGAGCACTTGACGGTCTCGCTGAACACGCGCTAGTGTTGCCGAGCACCCACTAGCCGTGCAGACCACGTACCGGCGTTGTCCGTACCCACACACTACGGACGGAGTTGGGAGAAGAAGGGAGAACAGAGCAAGCACGCACAATACAAGACAACAGCGTTGGCCGAGGCCATATCTGTGTGATGGCAAATCTGAGCTCTCTTTACTTAGTTGCCATACATGTCTATTTATACAACTCTAACTATCTAGTCCATGTGCAGCACTCATGCTGGCACAGTAACTAGATAACCTGACAGGGCTGACTCTGCGCCGGCCACTGCCTGTTCCTACAGTGCTGCAGGTGAGCCGTGCGGCGCCTGCACCTGCAGCGGCTACTGTATCACAGCAGGGGCAAAGTCGGCGCCGCCTTCCCTTGCTGTGTTCACACACAGCAGGCGGCTAAGTCAGCGCCGCCTTCCTCTGCTGTGTTCATACAAGGTGGCAGTAGATTAGCTAACAATCTTCCCCTAATCCTACTGCTAACCCTTGTACCCCCTCCATGCCGATCATCTCCTTCAGCTCCGTGAGTCGAAGTCGTCCGAGCGGCTTGGTGAGGACATCTGCGAGCTGCCGAGCAGTTTCGACAAACTCGATGACGATTTGCCCTCCATCAACACAGTCCCTGAGGAAGTGAAACTTTACGTCGATGTGTTTACTCCGGTCGTGCAGAACCGGATTCTTCGCGAAGGCGATGGCGGGCTGGTTGTCCACCATCAGTGCTGGTGGGTGAGCTTCCATGCCGGTCAGCTCGCCCAGCAGCCGGCGTAGCCACACAACTTGGCACGCCGCTGTGGCCGCCGCTACGTACTCTGTCTCGCACGTAGATAGCGCCACCATCTTCTGTTTCAGCGATAGCCATGAAATTGGGGCTGATCCGAGGAAGACGAGCACGCCAGAGGGGCTCCGTCGTCCGTCGATGTCCCCCGCCATGTCTGCATCGCTGAATACCGTGAGCTGCAGCCTACTCCCGCCGGTCTTTGGGAAGATGATTCCATGATTCACCGTCCCCTTGACGTAGCGTAGTAGCCACTTCACCGCAGCCCAGTGATCCTCTCTGGGATCCTCCATGAAGCGACTGACGTAGCCCACGGCGAACGCAATGTCCGACCTCGTGTGGACTAGATAGCGCAGACCGCCGACGATGCTCCGGTAGAGTGTTGCATCCACTTTCGCCGCAGTGTTGGCCTTCGTCAGCTTCAGTCGCTCCTCCATCGGAGTCACGCATGGCTTACACTCCACCATGCCGCTCCTCTCCAACAGCTTGGAGGCATACGCGCTTTGCCCGAGCGTGAGTTCCTCCTTCCCCTGTCTCACCTCGATGCCGAGGTAGTAGGAGAGAGCGCCGAGATCGCTCATTCGGAAACGAGCTACCATCTCTCGCTTGAAACTATTGATATCCTCCGTGCGTGCGCCGGTGACGATTAAGTCATCCACATACAAGCCGACCACGAGCTCTTCCTTCCCCCGTCGTCGCGTGTAGAGCGCGTGCTCGGTTGCGCACCTTTGAAACCCAAGCTCGCCCAGCGTGGCGTCAAGCTTGGCGTTCCATGCTCGAGGGGCTTGCCGCAGCCCGTAGAGCGCCTTGTGCAGTTGGAGCACCCTGTGCTCCTCTCCCTTGACGGCGAACCCTGGAGGTTGCCTGACGAAGACCGTTTCCGCCAGCTCGCCGTTGAGGAAGGCCGATTTAACGTCCAAGTGATGGACGCGCCAGTCTTTTGCTGCCGCCAAAGCAAGTAGCAAACGGACCGACTCCATGCGCGCTACTGGCGCAAAGACCTCCTCAAAGTCGATGCCCTCGCGCTGGACAAAGCTTCGGGCAACAAGGCGCGCCTTGTGCTTGATGATGGCGCCGAGCTCGTCCCTTTTTGACTTTGTACACCCACTTCAGGCTGATCGGACGGCATCCTGGAGGTGGATCGACGAGCTGCCAAGTCTCGTTTTCCTCGATCGCCTTCATCTCTTCCAGCATCGCCCGTCGCTAGTTTCCATCGCGCTCGGCTAGCGCGAACGTGGGTGGTTCCTCTGTACTGACGAGTAGCAGTTCTGCGTCGTTGAGCAGCCTGCCCGCCAGACCTGAGGGACCTATGCCGCCGACGATGTCGTCCAGCCTACGGAACCTCAACTCCTCACCTTCGTGGTAGGCGTCCACGAACTCAGTGATGTCACTTGGAGGTGAGGTGAACTCGATCGGGGTTGATGGAGTTCCTTCTTCCGCTGGAGTGCCCTACATAGTACCCGAAGTGCTCGACACTGCTTCTGGACTGCTCGTCATAACTCCTGCAGTGTTCGGCCACACTATAGGAGTGCCTAGCCTCAGTCTTGGAGTGGTCGGAACCACAGTAAGACGTCTTGGCTCCGCCACGGGAGTACTCGGCACCCGTCCTGAAGTGGTCGCCACCACTGCAGAACCTCCTGGCTCCACTCCTGGCGTGCTCGGCATCCCTCCAAAAGTGCTCGACACTCCTCCCGGAGTGCTCGGCATCCCTCCTGAAGTGCTCGGTACTGCCCCAGAAGTGCTCGACTCTACCGCCGGAATGCTCGGCGCTCCTCCCGGAGTGCGTGGCACCTGTTCCGCAGCGTCTCCACCGTCGTGGATGACCAAGTGCTCGACGACGAAGGTGTTGGGGAAGCCTCCTGCTTCCCCCGTGCTCGGACTGTTCCAGTCCCAAGCCGCCTCCTCGTTGAACACAATGTCGCGTGAGACAGTCACCTTGTCTCCGCGTGGGTCATAGAGCCGGTACGCCTTGGTACCCTCCGCGTAGCCCAGGAACACCATGGTTGTGCTCCTGTCCTCCAGCTTGGTGAGGTTCGGCTTCGTCTTCCTGACGTGGCCGATGCAACCGAATGTCCGGAGGAATGACATGTTCGGCTTACTCCCGTACCAAGCTTCGAACGATGTCTTACCCGTTAGGGCCTTGGTTGGAGCGCGGTTGAGGATGAACACCGCCGTGGTCACCGCTTCTCCCCAGAGCTTTGCTGGCATCCCTTTGGCCTTCATCATGGATCGGGCCATGCCGACCACTGTCTGGTTCCGTCGCTCCACCACGCCATTCTGTTGTGGCGAGTACGGCATGGTGTGATGTTGTCCCACACCCTGATCCGCGCAGTACGTAGCAAACTCCATCGAAGTGAATTCACCACCCCGATCAGTCCTCAGTACGCGGAGCTTCTTGCCGCTTTCGGCCTCCACGCGCGTCTTAAACTTCTTGATCGCCACCGCCGCTTCGTCCTTGCTCGTCAGGAGTTGCAGCCACATGTAGCGACTGCAATCGTCCACGAGTAGGAGGAAGTACCGCCGACCACCGCATGTAGCAGGCGTGATCGGCCCGCAGAGGTCGCCGTGAACTAGCTCGAGAGCTTCCTTCGCGCGATACTTGGCCGCCTTTGGGAAAGGTAGCCTCCTCTGCTTTCTAGCCAGGCAGCTGTCACATAGCTCGCCTCCGTGCTTGATGTGGGGTAGCCCTCGGACCATGTTCCTCAGCCGACCAAGCGCGTCGAAGCTGAGATGTCCGAACCGGGCATGCCACATCCACGGTTCCTCGAGTGCCTTGCCGCCAGCAAACCGGCTGCTCTACCTTGGTCGGCGGTACAACCGATTCAGGACCTCTTCACCTTGGTGAGAAGTCGCCGCTCCCGTCTCCCCGATCCTCAAAACGCCGTCCTTGATCGAACCTCGCTGCGCGCTCATCCGGTGACCAATCCGATGATGATTTTGAACGCGTGTTGCGGGATGTAGTATACATCCGTTAGCGCGTGTGCTCCCGTGCTCGGCATCCGAAGATGATGGTGTCGCGCCCTTGGATAGCCACCCTTGAGCCGTCACCAAACTTCACCGTACCGGTAACATCGCCGTCGAGCTCGGAGAAGGAGTCCTTGGAGCCCGTCATGTGGTTACTGGCACCAGAGTCCAGATACCACCGCTGCTCCTGGTTGGCGCCCACACGTCCGAGATGGACTTGGGCACGTGGTTCGTCGAGGTTGACGGTCTTCAGGGTCTTGCTAGATCCTTCCACCGTTGTCGCCTCTTCCCTCTCCATGGCCTCAACGTCGTGCTGTGCACAGAATGTCGCCATAAGGATAGTGGCCTCATCCTCATCGTCGGCTTTCGCCAGGTGAGCCTGAGCCTTCTTCTCCTTGCGATTTGGGCACTCCCGTGCCCAATGGCCCATCTTCCCGCAACACCGACAGGCGTTGGAGTCGATGTGCTTCTTCTCCGAAGAAGCCCTGTCTCGGTGCTTGCCCTTGCCACCGCTGACCGGAGGAAGCTCGCCTTCCGGAGTTTCGCCGAGCAGCCCCACTCCTCTTCCGTCGCCAGGAGTTTTCCGCCGTCCTCGCCGTTGTTGTCGCTT